ATTGATTGTACTAATTTAAAAATTAAACAGAGAGCTATTGTACTTAATGATGACTGCCATTTTGACAGCCGACCCATATCTCTACACCTCCAACTTCAAGGTGGTACAACAAATGTTTATCCATGTGTTAATAATGATGATGATGTAAGAAATTTTCCAACCTGTAAATCTCGGACTACAAATCCAAAGGAATTAGTTTCTCAGTCTAACATTTATGTGAAAAATGCTGTTTCTAATACTTTCGATAACAAAGAGTATAACTTGGAAAAATTGTTAAATGATTATTCATCTGTGTTTTCTAAAAATAAGTATGATGTAGGAAAAATTAATATTGAACCTCAACGAATTAATTTAAATTCTGATTTGCCTGTATCATTAAGACCTTATAGAACATCCCCTATGGAAGAAGAGGAAATTAAGACCCAAATTGATCAATTATTACAAGCAGGTATAATTAAAGAAAGTTGTAGCCCATATTCGTCTCCCGTGACTTTAGTACTTAAACGTGAGGAAGGAAAAAAACTAGATTGTGTATAGATTATCGAAAATTGAATTCCCTGGCTAAAACAGATGCAAACCCTCTTCCTCGCATTGACACTTTGTTAGACAAATTAAGTAAAGCAAAAGTATTTTCTACAATTGATTTGAGATCTGGTTTCTGGCATATCCCGATTCACCCTGCAGATACTGAGAAATTAGCTTTTTGCACGAATTTTGGATTATTCGAATGGTTCAAGACTCCCTTTTGGTTTCAAAAATGCTCCTGCAAATTTTTAACAGAACAATTAGACGAATATTAACAAAAAATAAAATTAATTTCGCTTGCAGTTACTTTGATGATATAATCGTTTACTCTTCCTCTGAGAAGGAACATTTAGAACATTTAAAAATTTTATTTGAGGTGTTTAAAGAGGAGCATATTAAATTGAATCGAAACAAATGTGTGTTCGCCAGAGATCAGATCACATTTCTTGGCTATGAAATAAAAAATGGTAGAATAATTCCCGATAACCATAATATAGAAGTTATTAAGAAACTTAAAAACCCCAGTAACACCAAAGAGTTACAAAGAGTTTTGGGAAGTGTGAATGTGTATCATAGATTCATTCCGAATTATGCAACTATTAGAGCTCCATTAAACAGACTCTTGAAAAAAGATGTCAAGTGGGAATGGGATGACCAATGTCAAAAAGCTTTCGACGAAATGAAAAGAATACTGATTTCCAAACCTGTTTTACAATTGTATGATTCCAGTAGGCCATGTCATATTTTTGTTGACGCTTCTCAAACTGCTGTTGGAGCTGTTTTGAAACAACCAGATGAAAATGATGTCCTTCACCCTGTATCATATCATTCCCGAACTTTAAGAAATTATGAGAAAAATTATACGATTACTGAGTTAGAATGTTTGGCCATAGTAGATGCCCTAGACAAATTCTATTACTATCTGCATGGACAAAAATTTGTTATACATACGGACCATGCGGCCCTCGTTTGGCTCAAAAATGTTAAAAAATTTAAAAGGTAGACTCTTCCGTTGGTCCTCAAACTAAGTATGTTCAATTATGAAGTAAAGTATCAGAAGGGCTCTACCAATATTGAAGCTGACATGCTTTCTAGACATCCTGTTTCACAGCACCTCCAACATTATGTACATTTACTTGATAGAAATGAAATAATCCAACAACAAAAAAACTGATAATGTCTCCGGAAAAAATTACCAAGAGATAAATGATATGATGGTAAATTAAGAAAAGAATTTTTTTATAAAATTGTAGTACCTAAATCTTTAAGATTAAAATTGTTGAATAAAACCCATGAAAATTTTGGTCACCCGGGAGTTCAAATTATGCTTAACTTAATCACCCCTCAATATTATTGGCCTCATATTAGCGAAGATATCGGAAATTTTGTTAAACATTGTCATACTTGTCAACTTAATAAAAAGAAAAACAGAAAAAATTTGGTCTTATGCAAGACGTACCCCCAACCGACAAACCTTTCGAATGTCTCTCTATTGACACTGTGGGAGGATTTAATTATTATAATTCTACAAAAAAATATTTACATATAGTTATTGACCATGCAACAAGATATGTCTGGGCTTTTCCCTCTAAAAGTGTAACTTCAGAAACCTATGCCAATTGTCTAAAACAAATATTTCAAATACAAGTCCCCGAAAAAATTCTGAGTGACAGGAATGCAGCCTTCACTTCCTCTAGATTCAAAAATTTCTTAAAAAGCATAATGTTAAACAACTTTTAACTTCATCTCATCCATCCCCAGACAAATGGTAAAGTAGAAAGAGTAAATCAATCAATAGTAAGTCGACTAAAATGTAAAGTAAATTCTTCTTCTAAAAACGTACCGTGGACTAAAGTGCTAGAGCAAGTTGTTATCGAATATAACAACTCCCCTCATACGGTAACTAAGTTCACCCCAGCATACTTACTATTTGGTAACCTCCCTTTTGAATCTCCAATTGATCAAAATAAATACCCTTCCTTAAATGAAGCAAGGGCTTTAGCAAAGAAAAGAACTATAGAATACCACCGAAAGAATAAAACTAGATATGACATCAGATTTGTAGAATCTAAATTTCAGCCTGGAGATTTTGTCCTTTACGAGGAATTCGAATACCCAAATACTAGAAAATTGACTTCACCCTATTCAGGCCCTTATCGGATTATGGATAAATTATCTGAAGTTAATTATGAAATCGACAGGGAAAATTTTCACACGAAGAAACCAACTGAGATTGTACATGCGTTAAAATTAAGGTTCTATTATCCACCCGAGAACTTTAAATTACATCATGAATAAATCAAAATTTATAAATCAATAAACTATCCATAACCCTTCTTTTAGTTTTCATCCTGTTGTCCCCCTTAATAGTTGATTTATCTCTCAGTGTCTGAAAAGTTTGTCTGCCCTTTTCTTTTACTGAGCTCCTTCAAACTTGAGTTTCAGGCTCAATGCACTTTCCGTGTGGGAAACACTCAATTGAGGCTATACTACAAGTAGAGTACTATACCCTCACATTTCCTTGAGCTCATGTTTTCCTATGTTTGTGTTATAAATTGTAACAACAGTTGAAAAAGTTAAATTTCAGTTGTTGAAACTTCTGAATTTCATTTTATGTTTCTGCAGCATCGTGTACAAAAAACTGGTATGGATGTTGGAAGTTAAATTTTGTTTTGTTATCATTATTAAGAGAAAAATAGAGTGACAAAATATGTTAAAAACCTAGCAAAATGTGTATTTTCAACAAGAGTATAAGAGCTCTAGTATCGTGACATAAAAACTCAGATGTTTTCAGTGACAATGTTGATCCATAATTCTAGCGCTAATTAAATGATCCGGAGATCTCCAAAGACCAGTAAAAGACTGAAGATGAGCCTGAATGACAACTCTAATGATTGTACGGACTCATACACAAACTGTGAATGGCATGCCCGAAGATATAAACTTACAAATTCAGTTATATTACTAGTTCCTATTATCGCGTAGCTAACCAGCAATATGTTATTAGTGCTTTATTTGTTCTGCACTTAGTTACTATATTATAATTTCATTAATCATTTATTATATTTTATACTGTATTAATAATTTCATTAATCATTTATTATATTTATATACCGTATTAATTATATTCAAATATTTTATGTCATATTTTATATAACATTTTGTGTGCCTTGAGGTAAATCCAATCAGTTTTCCTACTCACTTAATTTCCTAATAACTAAATTTTCTGCTCTCACTATCTGGACTGTCTTGGGTCGACGGCCGCGACTGCAAGCCTTTTCAGATGGGGGGGGGGATAATCTGTAATGATATTTTTAAATTAATTGATTAAATTAAATTCTAATAATATTGCTTAATAATGTGATGGCGATTCTCTACCTAAATTGCATCCCTGTTCCTAAATTTTGGCAAAATCCTTTCTTTAGTATAAAATATATTAACCTGTTGGCGCCCGCCAAATCGCCAAACTCATAAATCTGTCATATTACATAAAGTTCTTTAGAACACTCCTGATGAGAAGATAGCGTCACCTCGTGATTTCAATTAATATCGCTGATTGGAGGAGCCTCGTGACGTACACATATGTATAAGTAGGGCTTCTGCTCAAGGTACGAAGAGAACGCTTGTGAGATGGATGCTAAAATAAACCTACCACTTTATATTCCAAAATTTGTCTCATTCCTGTTGCCCCGTCTGCACAAAACAAATAATGTATGAGAAATTACATTTCATATATATATATATATATATATATATATATATATATACATACTTATTTTAAGTTTTGCCTAAGGGTACAAAATTTCTAGCTACGCCACTGGTTGGGAAGTTTAGTCTTTTCCAGATACATAGCCCAAATTATACACTAATAAACTGCGATATTTGGCGATCGCTGCTCGGCATGTTTGAAGCGTACGTTTTCGTCAATGATGGCAAGCTGACTGAAGTACTGGAACTGGACTTCTTCGCTTGTCAGTTTTATTCGAATGAGAAAGGATCTGAAATCTGCTTGAACGTTGTTCGAAAGTCAGAATGTCAGTAGTATTTGAATTCCTAAATGATCATCATCTAGCTTAAATACATATTCATTGTTTATTCTCTGACGGCCACAGTTATCCCGTTACACGGTACTCTCCGAAAACCATAAAAACAATAACACAGCCTGTACAACCACCAGAATCAGATCATGTGCTATAAAGTACAGAATTCAGAGAATTAAAATCTTTAGATTAGGTGGGTTTTCTTATAAAAGTATACGAGTTTTACATTCTCAGAAGAATTATTTTCTGAAATTCAATAACTTAAATGAATTAAATCTTGCACAAAAAAAAAAGGTAGCACTTCATTATGTCACGAAGTTTATGAAAAGAAAATGTCCAAAAAAATTGCTTACCGGTTTTGAGCAAAACATTATAAAAATGTTAATAAAAGAAGTTTTCTGTCTTTTTCATTTTTTGCATGTAATTTACTTTTAGGTGGATGATCTTGATCCTCCATACCCAAGACCAACTTCTACATGGTGGTTTGGCTGTCAGTCTCCTTCACAGTCGACAAATGCAGCTCAGGCTACAACAACTGTCCAAGAATTCGAAATAATAGGTAATAATACAGTGATAAGAACTAACAATGATAAAAGAACGGTTTAACAGGAATCAAAACATAACTTATGCGCTTTATTCACTGACATAGGTCAGAACTTTACTCACTGATACATGGTCAGAACAGAATTTGAAAACTTCCACTGCAACCTGTTGGAAAAGAAACATTTTTAGTAGCAAAATTGTGTGCTGTTTCTTAAATAGTGCATTATGTTAAAATAATATAATGAGAATTTGCGAAATTCATTATACTGGATAATAGTTACTAAATCAAAATTTCCCTCCGATTTAAAAAAAATGCCAAATAGCAAACAAATTTTAAAAGGTATCTGTGCTTATAGTTCATCCTTTCAGTTTATGTCAATGTAGATTTAATGTACAAGTTGCACACAATAACAATAAATATAAATACAATCGAATCTGACCTTAGCAGACACTTGCAAGACCAAGATTTTCATCTGCTATTAAGGAATGCCCGCTAAGTGGGAGAGCTTTGATCTTCTAATTATAGAGTCCTAAAATACAGGAATTAACTGTTAATGAAAAGTGCCAATTAACGGAGATTATATGGTATATTTTATCATTCCATAATTAAGGATATTGTGCGTTGAACAATATCCTTAATTAAGGAGTGCGTTTGAACATTCTGTTATATTTACTTTTATTCATATTAATAGCTTGTCGCTGACTAAAGTTTAATCGTCAATTATCTGACATTAAAAACTCTTTTTAGTCCACTATACTTCGAATTCAAATATTTTCCATTGAGATCATTTTCGTTGATGAAGTCTTTGAAAAATATTATAATCTAACAGTATAGGATATGGTCGATGAGTCAATTTCCAATTCATACTAACTTAAAATTTTGTAGTGTTACTTACACCCACTAAAACCTTGTAGTGATATAATGAGAAGACACATTTAGTTTAGTGCATATATTTTCTAATCAATCGTTTCCTTTATTTATATCCTGCTCAGAATTTAGTGATAATTTAATTTTTATAAAGCAGCCTATATTTTACTTCCATATCCCGCAACACCAGGTACCAGAAAATATTATCTACTTACCAACAGCACACTTTTAGGCTTTCTTTTAAATTCACCATCTTAAGGAATAGAGCCCAATCCAAATTTACAGTATCTTTCTCGTGCTTATAGAAACTTACGGAACAAATGGCAATAATAAAAGAGCAAATATTTCAAAATTTCGCTTATTTTTAATGCTTTTCACTTTCTTGTAACATGTAACCTTTTTGACGAAACAGATGGGTCGCGTGCGAAAGCTCTTGTACTTATGTGTATATGTGGTTCCAAGGTGTCAACCTAGAGTAATTTATCTCATTTTAAACTTTTTTTTAAATTGTACACTTTCGGATTAAAACCTTTTACCTGCTATATATACACTACAATTAATCCACGCTTTTTTCGCAATTTGGGGGAGGGAAGGGCATAAGATTTTTTTTTTTTTTTTTTTTTTTTTTAACCAATCGAAGATCGAGAAGTGAAAATTAGGCACATTTTTCTAAGGTAGGGCTATACCGATGTTAATTCATACAGGGACTTTAATTACCTGAAGTCGTAATTTTATTAGACAGATTGAAAATTTCGAAATTTTTTAAATCGTTTGAAATTTTGCTCAATAAACGACATGTAAGTAGTTCATTCTTACCTGATATAAGTAGTCTAAATAAATCAATTATTGGTACCTATAAGTATTCCAGGAAATTATTAAATGGGATAATTCACTACATTTTTTTAACCTTTTTTTTTTCGGGGAGGGGCCTTGTGCACCGCCATTGCTTTGTCGTGTGCCGCAGTTTCATGTCCGATATTTTAAGCATTTTGTCAGAATGAATCATGATATGAATCATCCACGATGTTGAAAATCCAGGTTTTCTTAAATCCACGTTCTTTTTCTTAGTTATTCAGAAGTGTGTGCGGTATAGATAACTATACCGCACATTTTTCTGAACTAATTCTGAAAAACATTAAATTACTGTTTCTTCCAGCAAACATAACATCTAACATTCAGCCTCTAGACCAGGGAATTATAAAAGCTTTCAAATGGCATTATAAAAAATATGTTGCTCAAAAATCTATAAAAAATGGATCTTGAAAAAATAAAAGCACTTTGAAAGCTATAAACTAAGCCTAAATGGCCATGCATATTATAGTTAAGCAGGGTTGGGGGGGGGCAATATCTCAGCACTGAGATAGTATTGAGAATAATATTGAAAAAAAACTGACTATGATATGATAAAAAATGTCAAAAGAGCTGCAGAAACTGAAACTGACATTGAAAGTAATACGGAAGAAGTAACGATGGGACAACCTGAATTAAATATGCTTCATAGAATAGCAACCTTTGACAAGCTCGTGCTGATGGCAGATGTCATAGTAGAGAGTAAAGTAACGTAACACTGCTTTAGAAACTGAAAGCTGTATCAGAAATGTCATAAGTCAGAGCTCTAATGTCAAGAAATTCGCAATTCTGATTATACCCATAATACTCTCATCAAAAGCAAAATATTTATCTATTTAAATAATTTTGTAAGCTCAGTATTGCAGCAACAAAATTTGGAAGTATGTTGTTGAGTGGAAGTTCGAAGGCCCAGTGGACAAAGAGATCTTTCCCATGTGTTCTTCAGCAACTTGAGTGTAGGCATTTTCATCCGGATTATAAACTTACTCACATTTTGATCGGTCATGGGAATTTTGGAACTTACTTCGTTTCAATATTGTTTTTAACGGACTCTGTGCTTGCGGCGATGCTGTGGAAGATGGGGGACATATTTTATTGCATTGAGGTTGCATGCGACTGCCAGAAGTGCATTTAATGTGAGTTTAGGAGAGCTCTTTATTTGCTGGCCTTCTGTTTTCTATGATCTTCTTAGGAGTTCTGAGACCTTTGCAGTCTTGCACGACTTTACTTGTTCTTTGAACTTTTAGTATTATCATTTATATTATTGGATTTTTACCTTTTATGTGTCACTGTATTATTTTGCGTATGGTCTATGTATGATTATGTTATTATGTATTGAAGTTTCTTTGATGTATTATTTTTCCTTGTATTAGTAATATTTTAAGTGTTATTTCATCTTTATTAATAATGTATCATTTTAAGTTGGTTTACTTTCTTTTACAGGAGTATTAACATATTTTAATTATCCATGAGATATTTTAGTATTTTTATTATAATAGCATCTGTTTTTTATATATTTTCTTTCTTTGCTCTTTCCAGGCCTAGATTTTATGTTTTTATTATTGAATTCCTTGTACTGTGAGTTGTTTACTTACATCTGTAAGCCTCGTGGAATACTTCATGGAACACGAGGAGTTATGTATCTGTTTTCTTAATTTAAAACAAAATGTGCAAAATCACGATATTTGAAGAAAACCTTTATCTTAATTCAAGGAAATAAGTTTTATTTGTGGCAGTAATGAAAGAATCATGCTCCAGTTAAACTGAAATGCATATGGTTTAAGCTCGAAGAAAACGCTACAAATGAATCGTAAAGAACATACTTAGATAGTTTTCGCTTTTGAAAACAACTTAATTTTCCTTTCAGAAGTCACATTTTTTCCCTCTTGAAGCTAGTAAATGACACCTAGATTTCAAAAGATATCAATCTATAAATTTTAATGAACTATTGAAATTTTATTTATTATCAGATTTTATTGCTGATCTTTTCCATCTTATCCTTTTAATGCTGTATATGATCTTGAAACGTTCCAGAGTTTCTGAATACTAGAATTCTGTCGTTTGCATCACCTTTATTCTCCTGTTTTCATTTCCTAAATATTTGAAAAGCTTTTAAGCGGTTGCCTTTGAAAATAAAAATTCACTTTACGGAACAGATCACACCAAAGCCATCAAGAAAAAGTGATGTTTAAGATCAGTTATATAATTATTTTTAAAACAATAGCTTGACGTTGCACTATGCGAAAAAGAATATATCTTTCTCACTGTTCAGTCTATGAACTCATAACAGCAAATATCGACATCCCAGAATCAAATAAAGCATTCCTTTTATACCCTAAGAAGATGATATTTTAAAGAAAGCAAATTAAGGCATTGTCGACAGTTATCCTATAGCAGTTAACCTGGGGTAGCTTAAAAAAAATTCAGCATAATTTTGCACGGACGATGGGGTCGTTGATTAACTGGGCTTTGCCGGCTATTGAGATAGTTCAAAAACTGAAATTTGTAGATGCACTGTATGTAAACATATTTATACTTCGGAATTAATATAAAAGCAAAGACTTAAAAGGCATCCTCTTTTTTATAAAGGTTCCAGTGGCCAGCCATCGCCACCAAAAGCTGATGAGTCCTCTAGTCCACAGCCAGATACAAGTGCCGCACCAGATCTATGCCAAGATGCATCAATAGATACAGTCACTAGAACACAGGATGGTAGTAGCTACGTATTTAAAGGTGAGATTTAAACACATGTTTTCAATTTATTATTCGAAAGGTGAAATATTTTTTATCTTCAAAACTATTACTACAAAAATAAAACGCTCTCTACCAGAGAGAATAAGACTACTTAGCTAAGAAATATTGGTTAAAATTAAACTTTAAAAGCTGAAAAATAAAAGCATAAATTGTAATTTGAAGCTATGAAAATAATTTCTTGCTTGATGGTAAGAATGACTGTTACTGTTACTCATTTTTGACGTATCCATTTGTATATTTCCTGTCAAATTTTGTTACACCTTTTATATATTATATTTTCATTCACTATTGATTAAAGAATTACGTTGTGTTTGTGAATGTGTCATTAGGATGTAAATAAAATCATTCCAAGATATTTATCAAGGACCAGGACACTAGAAGTCTTCTCTGTATAAAAGAAATGCAAAAGTAAAGAAGTTTTGTCTCTAATTTTAAATTATGAGAAAATTAATATCACAGCGAGTTTTCGCGATTAAACGTTTGGCGTTATTATTTTGAACTTCTATCTTTAAATGCTCATTTATGTTTTCTATTTCTAATTTATGGGGATTTATTCTTTAACTAGTAGGCCTGCCATAACCCTATCATAACTCTTGGCCTAAAGCTGTTTCAGATGTTAAACTAGAGTATGAGCACAAAGATCAGACTCCAATTATGTATATAAATAATAAATTATGCTTATAAATATATATTTTGAAATTTTTTTAGACTAAAATTTTCAAACCATACCTGCTTAGAGGGATGGAAAGGAATTTTTTGTGACGAGTTTTAGGATATAATTTCATATCATATCATTAGGTAGCAAAAGCATCTTAACTAAATATGGTTTTATCAGCCTTCTGATGCACTTTCCATCAAAGGGCGTTATAAATATTCATCAGTCCTCTATGCTATGTTTTCTTCAGCAGAAATTAATCAGAAGTAAAATTACGAAAAATGGAGATGGAGCCTATTTTTCCATCATTAAAAAATTACATAAATAGAAAGCAATTGAATTAATTTATAAGTCCGCCAGAGATGCTCAAGATGAACAATTTGGTACCAAATTGTTAATCGAAATTATAAGACTGTTTACCGCGGATATAGAAAGATTGTATTTTTTGTTATAAGGTATTTCTTCCGCCTCCTTAGCATGCTTTCGTGGTGTAATGGTCAGCACACTCGGCGCGTATTCGAAAGGTCCGTGGTTCGAGTCCTGGTGAAGGCACTGCTCATTTCTCCATGTCTCCTGCTTCGAAATAACATAATGTCTCTACAGTGGCGCCCGAACCAAAAAAGGTGGCGGATAATGATTCTTCCCCACCTGGATTTGGCGATTGGGTCCCCTAACCCCCCAATCACCCTTCAAAAGGGGGAGTATATAAGGCATTTCTCCCGCCTTCTTAGCATGCTTTCGCGACGTAATGGCCAGCACACTCGTCGCGCATTCGAGAGGTCCGTGGTTCGAGTCCCGGCGAGGGCATTGCTCATTTCTCATGACTCCTGCTTCAAAACAATCCTAATGTCACTACATTGTAAACACGGGATAAAGATATGCTAGATATCGGTATACAAACATACCTTTCACAGGTACTGAAATAAATATTGCGTCAGTTGTCTTAATGAAAGAAGAAAACAAAGTGAACATTTAGCTGCGAATGCGCTAGCATAGTGAAATAAATATTTTTAAGACGAATTCCACGGTTCCAGACGAATTTATCCGCCTGTGGAAGTAGTCGCGTTAGAGCGATGATGTTTGATAACAATATTTATGTATGTTATAAGAAGTATTGATCGCATTCAGAGGTAAAAGCTATGAGAGGTTTAATTATATTGTAAAAATCGCATGAATTCTAGTTCTTTATTTTAACTCTAATCCTTTGAACCAATTATTTTTGCTTTTGTTTTTGTGTCATGCATGCTTTTTTTAATTTCCAATCAATCTATTTTGGCTTTCTTTTAAATTCGCAGCACTTCTGACCTCATCTTAATTATTTAGGTGAGTTTTACTGGAAAATTTTCGATAATGCCATTGCCGATGGGTATCCAAGAAAAATATCTGAAGACTGGGATGGATTAGAAGGAAATTTAGACGCATCCTTCACAGGATCAGATGGGAAAACTAATTTTTTCAAGGTACTGCGCATTTTGAGATAAACTCTGCAACACAAATGAAATGTAACGTGTTTTTTGTTAATAATAATAGTATTACTCAATATAATTAAACATTTTAAATAACGCAACAAATTTAAATCTAGTTTTTCATATCTATGAGCAGAAATAGCTTTCTTTTATATCATCTTCCCTAGTGAACAAAGAACCTCTACTTGTTTTTCAGTTTGATTATTTCTGCTTTCACTTACGTATTTATCTGTCATTATAAATTCTTTGTGTCACACGTTTATTCAGATTATACTTATGCGTTTTATTCATTTCCGATATCCCATGCGAACTCAATCAATCAATGTTTACTTACGTATTTCTAATTTTTTATGCAGAGAAAAGATGATTGAATAGCTTTTAATCAAACAATAAAATTTATTCGGTAATATAAAAACAAAACATTTCTACATAAATTTGTAGTCACAAACATCCTTCGGGTCTTTTTAATTTAGAAGTCAAACAACAAAAATCAGCTTTATATTTGCAAATCTTCACAGGACTAGTTTCGATGGTTTTACCGAACCATTACCCTCAGCTGCCAAAGTGCAAATTCTGCTTGGTGTGCGCTGCTTACCGGAAATTACATTGGTCAGAGAAAATTTTTATTATTCGAGGCATTGATTTTGCGAGACGCAAAAGATTTCTTTATGACCACCGCAATCACCTAAGTCGTCGACAGTTTTAATTTCTTCATTTGGGGTTTCTTCAAAAGCCTTGAGTGCGAGTGCTCCATAGCGTCTTACACTAAACTCGTTGCAAGAGTCGTTGGAGAAGCCTGGAATTTTTGGACACACACGCGTCGATGTTGTGAGGCACGAATTGCAGTGGATGGAATGAATCAAGGTCAATTGTAAAACAAGGTTAGGCTCTTTTCGACTTCGACTTCATTTACTTGCAGAAACGGAAGAAAGAGATAAAATAAAATTTCCGATAAAAAATAAGATCTCCGATAAGTTGCACAATAGAAAAAAAAGATATCAATATGTATCTTAAACAGCATATTGCATTACTTAATCAATTACCAGGCATTTTGCATCTCTCTGGGGCTTGCAAATGTCGTTGGAAACTCTACATCAAGACAAATTGTGTGTAGACGACTTGTACAGTTTCACCCTACTCTAACCGTTAACAGCTAGAACTGCTTTGGATATAGGTTAGATTCAACATGCGTAAATGTTAATTAAGTTTTTTTCAACTGGGTATTAACTGTATGCGTGTTAACTCTGCTCTAAGACTGCATAAGTTTAATTGTTTACTGTTCGCAGTAATAATAAAATGTGTTTTCGTTTCAAAACAAAATCATAATTATTTTGTACATTAGGAAATTTATTAATAATTTCTTCAGCATTTACTCAGATCTTGCAATAAGCCCAATTCAATGAGATTCAGATGCTGTATTATGCTAATTACAGAATATAACTTAGATTATTTGAATATGGAGAAGCGTACGAGGCCTATCCCCAAAAAACAACAGATACCTTACTGTATACTGTGGAGGGTCTTCTTCAGGAAATCTGACCCGAAATTACATCACGCATGAGAAACCACAGAAACGAACTATACAGTGAGGTCGTTCGCATGGGTTCCAATCTGTACAGAATGGGTCAAAACAGAATGTGTTCAACAGTCTTAACCTCTGGGTCACAGGTAACGCTAAAAATGTAGAGAAAATGGGAGGTATACCAAAAATAATAGTGAAAAATATTAAAGCTTTATATCAAATATGGTATACTGTCTGCGCAAAGCAACGAAAATGTGCAAAGAATATAAGCACAATAAGACGAATGTTCTAACAACACAGGCCAAGTTTATTTAATTCGAATGAAGGCGAAAATTAGCAATAAGGCATAGTACAATGTAAATAAAAATTGAAGTTCGCACTTCGAATGTCTGAGCGAACATTTCCTTTTTCAACTGTGAGTAGGATAATAAGCCCATTAGCAACAGGTGTCACACCATCTACACAGAAGGAAAACAGTAGAAAAGGCTTTGCAAGCGGGATAAGTAAATTAGAGAAAAATGTAGTCGAACTCCTACAATGCATCTACGAAGCACCTGAGGATGGACACTCTGAAATAATTAATGACTAATATATAAAAACAGATAATGATGGCGTCCGTCAAAGACCAAAAGGTGAAATTGACGAATGCTGGTAGTTGGACATGGTTTCCCAACGACAAACGAGCTGGCTACATGATAGTTTTTGTTTCTTCTCAGATAAAGTATAAGTACGAGAACGTTTGCTTTAAATATTCTTCCACAAAGACATACCTCCGCTTACGCACATAGTCTTTGAATGTAATAATGTAAAATAATCTAATCCTAAAACAAATGTGTTCCTAATAAAAACCTCAACAATGAAAAGAGAATATGATAGCTGAATCATAAGATCTGAAATGAGAAGCTAATCGAGGAAAGTTTTACACACAACGTACTACACTGCTGGCCATTAAATTTGCTACACCGCGAAGGCGACATGCAACAACTATTGGCGAGCAGGAGATTTCAAAATCATATAATACGAGCTTCATTTAAGAGTTTAGTGATGCCTTCGGTAAATATATTTTGATCCGTGACAGTTATCTGACCTTGATTAAAGGATTTGGAAAACAATTCTAGCTCACTTTTCTGTCAATAGATGGCATTAAGTGCTTTAGTTTCTGGTATTTTTGTAGAACTTTTTAGGACGTTTTCTCTCTGGATTTACGCCTTTGCGCATGATTCTCTGGTCTCATTTTCGTACTTTTTCAGGAAGAAGTCCTTCCAAGCGCTTCTTCATAGTTGCCTTCGACTTTTCATTACATATCCGGGTCTCGTGGTAGATCACCGAGTCTCCTGGTATTTAATTTTTAGCATTTACATGGAAATTGTTTTTCGGTAATAAATGAAATTTATTGATTTCATTTTTTAACACATACAATCTCCTCGTGCACCACAAATGTAAAACACGGGGCTTACAAAAGTAAGCTAACTGAAGCATCAGATAGTACATGCATAAATAAAACGAACAAAAACAGAGAACAGATGTCTAGACGTCACAAAAACAGATAAGTTCATTGGCCAAGTCACTACAAACTTTTTCAAACCGTTCCGTAAGCATAAGCGAAGGTAGGGTAGAAAAAAATTAAATATTCCACATCTTGGGAGGTACTCGTTTTAAGCACTCATATAAATTATTTGATCTTAGATTGAAACAAAACAGGTAACTTGCAGATTTACCGTGACCAGATAAAAGCTGAGATACTTTAAAATTAATAAACAGAAAAATGGTTAATAGAAGGAAAAAAACTTTTTGGTACAGAATCGAAACTAATTACAGAAATTTATGGGCACTAAAACAGCTGAATGAGGAATTTCGGGGAAGGGGACATTTCCATTTATGCAGTCTTCCAAAATATCAGTTGCTAGTGCCTCAAAAGTATTATTTTTATATTCAGTTTTGAAACCATTAGATGGAACTCATGCAAGAAAAAAATAGCCTAATAGCTTAATAATGCGAAGAACAATTCTTCGTTGAATTTTTCTCAGATTTCTTTCGTTAACCTTCTTTGCGAGAACATGTGCCCAAGCACGACAGCTGTACGAAATAAAAATCACAATACATCAGTTTATTGGCTTAATAGCTTACTCCAAAAATAGTTTTTGGAATTTCGGTGAAAACCATTAAAAATATTTTCACATTTAGTAGAAAGGAATTCAATGTGTTTTTTCCACGTTAATTTTTGGTCAAGTATGACACCAAGATACTTAACACGCACTACAAGTTCCAACGGAGAATCATCGAGTATCAAAGGAGCAATATTTTGTTCATCGAAATTTCGGGAAACAATCATAGCTTTACTTTTTGTAGAACTGAAATTAAGTTTATGCGAGATCGCTCAACTGGAGGCAAAATCCAGTCCTGCTTGTACTTTCGAAAGAATGAAGTCAAAATCGTTCCTTGAAAAATTGCAAGTCATGTTTAAATGCAATTTTCAAGCAACCGCGGAGATGACTTAAAAGATCATTTATTGTTTTGCTCAAAAGAATAGATCCGGACACAGAACCCTTATACCTTCGGATACAAGCTGAAGTTCAGCGGTCCTCCCGTTTAAGAAGGTTTTAAGCAGGTTATAGATATTTTGTATTATTCCACTTCTTTTAGAGTTTTTAAGATAGACGGCCACCAAGCATTATCAAAAGCATCTTTGAAATCCACAAAAACAAAAATTGTAAATATCATTCGCTTTCTACAAGATATTATTAAGGCGATTAAGGGCACCTTCATCAGACCTCCGAAGAGTAAACCCGATCTGAGAATCATTATAAAAACATTTCTGTCTCAAATACCAATTTATATTATTAATGAAGAGAGATCCGAGACATTTTTCCCAAATATGTAATAGGCTAATGCTTCTAATATTATCAAGATAAGGGATTAATGTATCTAAAGTTTCAAGGATCAAAACAATCCGAACTCTCTTCCATTGGGTTGGAAAAGTCTGTGCAAAAAAGTGCTATATAATATTCACATTTTGCTATTATGTATAGTGAAAAGTGCTGTATAATTTCACTGTATAGAGAGTCTAGCCCAGGTGAGTCGTTCTTCTTGAGACTTTTAATAACACTGTTAACGTCTGAAGTAGAGAACTGACAGTCCGTCAATGAAATATATTGCATCTCTGACTCAGTACGCAAAGCTCTGTGAGAATTCCTATCATCACGGGCATCATTCCTATCATCCTATCATCATATTCTCTTGGGAAATTATTTTCCATAATAGCAAAATTTGTGGCACTGAATAACGAAGTAACACTGCCATCCGGGATACTGATTTCAGTAAACGCAAATTGGGCAAATTTTCTTTTCCCACCCCCTAGTGATTTTCAGCACAATTTTTCTCAGTAAATTTTATTTGATCTGAATTAACTTAATCTACTGAAGGCATCCGTAGAACTTTGTATGAAGACTCAACCTATATTTAATCACTAAATAAGCATAATTTAATTTTGTTTTACGTTAATATATGGAACATTACCAAGTGCGTCCAAACCATAGTATGTACAAAAATTGTTAATTTTATTTTCATCATGTTTAGAAGTACTTTGAAGAAATAAAGCTTTCCTTCATTACTCAGGAATTTCTCAGTAAAAAAAGTGTAAAAAAAATTATAAAAAGAAATCAGCCAACGAATATAAAATGTATAGAATACCTAATTAAATATACAGTAAATCCTTACCGAACTCGGGAGTTAGTCATTAATAAATTACGCGTACGGCAAAATCGCATTCCGCAAAGTTAACATGTCAGGACTGTTGTTCCTTCTAATTGCCTTTGGAAACAGAACTGAAGTCCTGAGTATGAATAGGGAGTTTACTCAAAACTATGTTCGTGCATGTGTAGAAGATACAGTATAAATAAAAAGGGTTAAATTTACCCTTTATTTCTCACATCGTACCGCCCTTCGGGATACAGAGACCAGCACTTATGTTCTAAAGCGCAGAAAATAAAAAAATAGACTAACTTAACTACATAAGAACTAAACTTAGATGCTCTACAGAGAATAGTAACGCGAAGATTGGCCTTTTAGCATTACATATGTAGTAGCGAGCGAAATGCAAAACTACGTCTTCAAATATCAGTGAGAACTAAGTTCTGGTCTTAAAGGCAGACAAAAACTGACTGAAAAGTACGTGTGTGGTAAGGCAGCAAAAAGTGGCTCTCTCTCTCTCTTTTGGCTAAAAGCCATATCTTAAATACTTATACAGTTCCCAACCTCATTTGCATAAACAAATCTACTTTCGCTTATTCTGGCCGGAAATGGAAAATAAGAAAGATAGTAAAGTTTTAAAATAAAATAATCTTTAGTAAAACTTAAAATCCTTACAAACTTTCTGTAGAAAAGATGTATTATACATAATTGATATTAAGAAAGTATGTATAATTTAATGAAACCTAAATAATTTTTTAATAGAAAGAAAAAAAACAAATGTTAATTCAAAGAATTTTTATTACTGTTTAATAAGTATGCGGTACAAATATTTTTTTTAAATACTTGGTAATTTTTTCTTGGAACAAATGCTGACGTAATTCTTGACACTTTCTGTCACTTTTCTTAATAATTCGTTTAACTTCTTGTAAGTTAAAGGCGCTCATCTTCTTATTTATTCTTGCTTTCACTGTCGGCTGGTGTTATAAGATTATCTAATTCTTCATTTATTATTTCTCAATTAATTCTTTGACTTTCATTTGACTTCATTTCATAGATTTCATACATTTCATTTGACTTCCTAAACATTTCACTTTCTTTCATATAGAAAAATCTTCTGTTGTCATTTGCTTTTGAAGTTTGTACGATTTCTTGAACTTCACTTTTAATCGATGAAAATCCTTTAAAATTGTTGATAATGTCTGGTCAGAGCTGAAGCCATCAAGCATTCAATGCTGATTAATAAATATCAAACCGCATATGAATGAAATTCTAGCAGTTGACAAATTAAATGGAGCAATTAAAATAACGCGTATACGAGAAATCATGTTCCGCAAATCCTCGATCGGCAAGAGTATTTTACATTTTACATCAGAATCATGCTATAAATAAGTGTGGAGTTTTGAACAAGCGTTACAAAGCGAATTTAAGTCAATCTGAAGTTCTTTGGAAATGGCGGAGCCACGTCCCGGGAAGTTCTGCTTTGGGGGCGCAAGATCTTCCTGATTTCTCATATTTCAAGGTTAATAGCTATTGGCTTTCTATTAAATTTTATTTTACATCATCTACATCTTCCCTGCTAATTTTCATCCCTTTACTAATTAAGGAAATGAGAGTTTTTGTTGTAGTTTGATAGTATCTTGAAGATACCAAAAAAGAGAATTCATTTAACAGATTAATGAAAGAATTTGCTTTTTCTGCTAACTTCTGTTCTAATCGTATCTTTTTAAAACATTTCAAGAACTATTCGATAATTATATTTCTCTTTATGCGCTGATACTGCACAGAGCAAATATTTGTATATTCCATTTGTGCAATGTACATAAACAAGAGCTAAGAATGCCTAATGAAAAGAAAATGGGTGTCATCTTGTCTTTATGATAAGAACTTATTTTAAAACAGAATGTAAATCAGTTTACATTACGTTAAATATTTGAATAAACGACTGTTTTAAATTATTGGAGAATTAACATAATTAAACCTGACTACATCTTTTATAGGGAGGAAGATATTGGCGTTTTACTAATAAAGATATGGATAATGGCTATCCTAAACAATTAAAAGACGGTTTTAATGGTATACCAGACAAGCTGGACGCAGCTGTTCTGTGGAGTGGTAATGGTAAACCTTACTTTTTTAAAGGTAATATAGATCTTTCTAATTTCTGACACCGAAAATTGTTCATAAAATTAAAATTCTACTAAAATAAATATTAGTTTTACACAATAAAAATCTGTTATGTTTTCAGTTATTTAATGAAGCAACATATTTCATTACGATTAAACAATTTATCAATTATGTAACACAAATTTAAGATTTCTTCATATATTTTGACACTTTAATCGCACGTTTTGCAAATAAGATACTTTAAAAAACAGGTTCCCTTAATTAGTTACTTAGCATAACTTTTCGCAATATGTAATTTTCTTTTTCCTTTTAATTTTTCCGTATTAATTTCTAAAGAAGAAATAAATATAAAATGGCACAGGGATGTAATCATCATAGTAAAATAATTAACTACAATTTTGTTTGGAATTAAAATGTTCTTATAATAATTATAACATTATATTGAATTAAATTTTTTATGACAGAAATAGCTGTTTATTCGTATTTCCTCGCACATAAAAATTCTATTCTTGAATTTAGGAAATCAATATTGGCGTTATGACAGTAACGATGACCCACCAGTAAGTAACAAATTTCCACAACCAATCAGTAACTGGCGTGGTTTGCCTAATAATCTGGATGCAGCATTTCAGTGGGAGAACAATGTCACATATTTCTTCAAGGAGGATAAATACTACAAATTTAATGATATAACTTCTGAGGTATGTAAACATTTTTTTTTAATACTGCAAATATTAACTTATAATAGTTGCCAATGGCTCCTCATCATTTTATGTCATTTGAACATGCTATACTGCATTTTTAAATTGAATTACTTTTCTACTGCAATTTTACATGGATTTTCTTTTAAGTATATTAACAATTTAGCTGTAAGCAACAGATTTAATGATAAAGGGGTTTGTTTTAAGATACGTATGCTAAAAAGAACAGATTCGAGGTGGCTGAAATAACGCGGTACAAAAAAGATACAATTCAAAAGCTGCGAAAGATAATTAAAACGAATCATATTTAATCATTCAATTATGTAATATAGTTCATCGGAATTTATAGCATGAATTATGCAAATAATTTCTGATTTTAATTTCTCAAGTCAATTAGGCATATTCGTGTAAGACCTCTCATAATTAATTATTCACAGAAAAGAGTTATCAATAATTAAGGTTTGTTTTATAAGGGATACTATTTCCAATGAATTTCGCTGTATTTAAGCTAATTATTCTTTCACAAATGTTATTTCTAGTCAAGGAGAAAAAATGTTTATAATTCCCTAAGGGCAAGCTCAGTCGTACATTAATTAATAATAGCGAATTATGTTATGATAGAAGCTTTTGCGTATAAATTTTTGTTACAAGAATTGCCAACAATTTTGCTCATTGACAGTAAGTACTTTGTATGAATAATTGGACACACATATTCGCTTCACGAATATTGCCGAAAATGTAGATTCTCAGTAATCAGTGCCCCCAGTTCTATTCGCGACATAAATCTTCAGCTAGAAGACAGCCTTGTAGGTAAAACAGATACTTTCTATAGCATATATCCATTTTTTAAGTCATCTTAAACATTATATTTCATTATTTTACCTAATCTCTTTATCTTTACCCTTGAGTGGTTGACCAAGTTGTAACTTGTTTCGCACAAGAGATAATTATCACACTTTGCAAAGAACTTCTCGGCATTCCTAACAGCGATGAAACTTTTTCTTTCCTAGTGAGATAGATAGTTACATATTTTATATTCACATATTTTCATATATTTTATATTCTCTGTTTAAATATTTTTTTTCCTGTCTATCATAATAGAAAGTTAAATGTTAGATCCAGCATTTCTTTCAGTAAAATGCCATTTGTGTGCTATCGTACCATTTAACTGAAGAAATTAAAATAACAATAATGATGATAATGATGAATAGGTCTCCCTAAAATATACCGCACTTACTTGCATATTCCCTTTCCCAGTTTTTGTTTGTTTGTCTCCCTCCCAGCATATGATTTAAAAATGTCTGGTTTATTGTCAAAATGTGTGCAAAAATAGGAAAATATTTTGTGTAAGTAAAAAGAATATTATTGAAATTGAGAAATCCTTTAAAATACATGGTGTAATAATATTAGTATGTCTTTATGTGTGTTTTCTAATGAGGGGCTGTGTTATAATTTAAGTCGTCACTTAAGAAATAGTATACTCCCCATATTTTTCATCTCCTGGTTTCAAGCGCTACATTTAGGAGTAAAAGAGGGAAAAGACTGGAGTAAATACGGTTAATAAATAAACAAGTAAATAACAAAAAACTGCAAAACCCAAAAGTTTACCGTGTTATCAGCATTCCATTAGCAGCTTTCTTTGTTCTAATTTCTTTACTAAATTCATGTTGAATAATCCCATTCTTTTTCTTAATATTTTCTTATCATATTCTTCAAAAAATAAGAACTTCATATTAAAATTTGTTTCCGTCTAATAAAAAAGATTGTATCAAAATTTCATCGGAGTACTTTCATACTGAGGCGTTCAAGGGCAGGAAAGGGATTTCGGATCAGTCCGCACACGAAGTGAGGAGCAAGCTAGCTGATATTGGAGAGAAGAGTGCGAATGAAATAACAAACTGGTTGGTAGGATGACGTCGTAATTTGATATGAGATTAGGTATTAGAAAATATTGTAGTCAATTCTGACTTAAATTGCCTTACATAGTTTTAAGGTTTCCCTTGATTTTTAACCCTTGTAACTAATGCATATATCGTTACGAATGTTGTACACGGATACACAATTTTAGTGCAGTTATATGTGAAAGCGTTGTATTTTTCTGCATAATGTAACATGAAAAATCTAGAGAGAAAAGCTATGCCAAAAAAGTAAAAATACAGGGGCAAGTCCATTTAACATTGAGTAAATTGGTATCTCGGTGATTTAGCGAGAAATCGCCAAAAGTTCTCAAACTTGGCGACATTTTGGCCCGGTCCATGTATCACCGTAATAGGTATTATTGTAATTGAATAATATAATTGATCACTATATTAGCTGCAACCGTACTTATATTGCATTTTAGTAATTCGGAAAAGCAGAAAGTGCTGGAAATATCTCAGCGACCAGGTGAAAACTATATGAGGACGGAGAGACAATCTGCTCTCAATTGCTGTTAGCTGTTAGCTCAGCGTGAGTTCCAAGTACTATCTCCGGTTTAGCTTCGCTCTTTAGCTGCGCTTTGCATTTCGTTGTGTTGTGTTTAACGTTCTTGGTAGTTTCAAGTGTCACTACTGATTCTGCTCTGTTATACTGTGAAGAACTGTATCAATATTTTTGTGGAAAGTTACTGAGCTTTGATGTGTTGTCCTCAATAAAATGAATTGTACTCGTATTAACCTATCGTCGGATCTGTGTGCACTGCATTCATTACGAATCCGTACGCACGCAACAATATATATGTAGAGATAGATAGATAGATAAATAGATAGACAGATATAGATATATATATATATATAGTATTACACACATTCTTTACTATATAAATATCCCAAATCATTTCCGCGCTAAATGCTGCTGAAATAAATAAATTAATCATAGACAAAAAAAGGGGGGATGAATTTAGAACCAAAACAACAAAAGCATCAAATAATTAAAATATAAAACCAATACAATCCCTAAATCTCTCAATAAAAAAGCAAAAAGACCCGATTACCTCGATGAATGTAAACCAGAAGAAACCCTAAAAAACAATAGAAATAAAAAAAATAAAAAGAATACATAAAAGGGAATTGAAGAGGAACACAATCAAAATTTGATTAAACATTATCAAAAGGATGTCGATCAGATCCCAATTGAGTCAACTTGCTAGGAAAACGTTTGTGTTTCTGTTCGCCTAAATTTAGCTGGTGTAAATTATTTAATCATTAAAGTTCATCCAAAAATTTGTAATGCCTCCTCTACATACCCGCTTTCCTTTCAATAATACATAGAAGCAAATATAAATTAAATAAATTCAATTTTCCTAATAAAGAAAAAAGTAATATACACAGTTATTAATATTAAAACGAAAATTACTAAAACTTGGGAGTTCATGTAATATTAAAACAATTTACAGAGTACAAAAATGTTTGAACTTATCTGTCACCAAAACAACGGAAACTGATTCAAAATGGGGAAAGTGATGCCTAGGCTTGCCTCTTTGGCGCAATTGGCAATGGAAAGTTTTAAATCTCTCAGAAGATGAATTTGTAATATGATTAAATTAAAATTGAAAAGCATTAAGAAGTAATGAAGATTTTGTAATTTTCATTTTAATTTTATTGTTTATAATTGTGCATAGTACTGTTTGTTTTATTAGACAGATTGAATTTATTTCATTTATATTTATATTGTTTCTATGTATTACTGAATGAAAAGCGGCTATGTAAAGGAAGCATTCAAAATTTTCGGATGAGCTAAAATGATTAAATAATATTAAATGGTTCGTGAGGTAATTTTGGGTTAACAGAAACACAGTGGTTTTCCTAGGAAATTGATTGAGCTGACCTCCTCTTGATAACTTGAATCAGATTTTGATTGTGTTCCTCTTCCTTTTTATGTATTTCTATTTTTTTTTTTTGGGAGGGGGTTCTTCTGGTTTGAATTCATTGAGTTGATAGGGTCTTTTTACATTTTTATTCGGAGATTTAGGGATTGTACTGGTTTCATATTTTATTTCTTTTATGTCTTTGTTGCTTTGGTTCCAAATTCATTACTTTTTGTCTATAATCAATTTACATATACATATACATAAGATACCCCTTATATTTTATCTTATAATATATATATATATATAAGACCCCTAATATTTTATCTTGTAATTGTTAATTCCTGTTCATATCTGTACTTTCTTAACTTAATTATTTCCTTCTCGTTCTTAACTTATTTCCGACCTTCATCGTTCACTTCATTTGCTTGATTTTTATTTAACTTAATTTTTCACAATAAATGTTCAATTTCTTTCGTATTTTTAGTCTTTATAACTTACAAATTTCTTCGCATTTTTATTTCTTATATTTTCCTTCTATAATGAATCAATTTATTCCCACAATCTTCCATTACTAATTCCATTGTTTTACTTAATTTTATAGATATGTCTTAAATTCCTTAACATTTATAATCGTTATAATTTGTATTTCCCTACACAGTTTCAGATTGCTTTTACATGTTTAACTTTTCTTTACATGTTCTATTGTGTATTTGTTTACGTTTTATGGTTTTAAAACAATAATCCTTTATTTCATTCTCATAATCTTAATTTTTACTGTTACTAATTCAAATATTTTCATTAATTTTAGACGTGATTTTAACTTATTCCGCAAATCAAACTTTTATTATTGTCTATGTATTCTTCATTTTCTTAAACTTTTTATCACATCTGTTGTATTTTCTGACCATAACTGCATTATTTGGTGCACGATTTTTATGCATTTCTAAGTTATCAAATTTCCGCGAAAGTTTTGTTCAGCAGTTTTAATGTCACAATTTACTATTATTTTTCTTTAATATATGTATTTATTTCTTAATCTTTCTCATGTATTCCTAGCTACACCGTAGTTTTCTACTGTAATGTTTAGTTTCGAAACCCGATTACCTTTAAACGAATTAAGTACAAATTTCCAACTTTGAAGGTTGATATTCTGGAACGAATTCATAACTTTCAACCGTAACTTTTTAGATCATGTTCACTATTTCCAAAATTC